CCACAACAACCGCATTTGCTCAAAGAAGAGAAAGCTTCAAGGGAAACGTAAAATGTGTGTGTGTGTGTAATGAAAATACATCGTGCTAAAATTTGTGGATACAGCCATTATAAATACTTGTAATAAAAAAGAATAAAGATCTCAAGTCAGTAATCTAAGCTCCCACCTTAAGGAACTGGAGAAAGAAGGTCAAATTAAATCCAAACAAGCAGAAGGCAGGAAATAATAAATAGTAGAAATCAATGAAATTGAGAACTGAAAAATAATTGAGAAAAATCAATGAAATCAAAGCCAATTCTTAGAAAAAACATAAATAAAATTGATAAATCTCTAGTGAGCCTGACCAAGAAAAAAAAAAAAGAATACATAATAAGCAATATCAGGAATAAAAGGAAGATCAGTACAGACGTACCGACACTAAAGAATAATAAGGAAATATTATGAAGAACTCAAATTAGAACCAGAAGTAGAATGAGGAAAGCATAATAGTGATAAAAGGGTATGGGAGGAAGCTGAAGCCAGAAAAGAAAAGGAACTGATAGCCCTGAGAATGAAGTTAATGACTATGAATTTGTATTGATGCACAAAATCCAGGTGGCTCAGAGAATTTTTCCAGTTTACTTGAAAGGTGGTGTTCCGTGATGATGCAGTAGAAATATAAGGATATAAGACAATAAAGCATGTTGGTAAAAGAAGAGTTTAGTTGCTCAATATGGAGGCCAAGCCTGGTGATGAGGGAAGGCAAGGGTATGAGGGAGTTAGAAGTAGGGGGGATGGAGAGACCAAGAGAGGGCTGATAGATGGACTGGGGATGGGGGTGAATTTTCTGCATTATAGCTCCTCTGTAAATGTTCTTACCTCAGCAGCTGTTCTTGGTTCAGCCTCATGGGGTTTACACACAACCTGGAATTTAGTCTAAATGATTCAAGGGAGGGACACATACACAAATAGGGTTGGGGAGTCAGCAGCAGATGGAGGCTCAAAGAATTGGAGGTTTGTACAAAAGAAAAAAAAAGATTTATTGAAAACGAAGGCATAAGAGAGCTGGTATTTGTGGAGGGTTGTTCATTTATTTTACATCTCCCATGTTCTAGGCATTATTCTGGACACAGGGTATAATGAATGGTGAGCAAGGCAGACAGATCTTTACTACCATAGGGTTTATGGCTGTAATACTGATAAATAAATAGGTAATTGTAATATTTAATGATATATGCTAGGAAGTACTTAGAAAGTGGCATAGAGGAATGGCAAGATTTTAAATGAGAACTTACCAAGCAGGAGTGAGTAGCCAATAGGAGAAAACACTCAAGCAAGTGGGACTGAATGTTATAATCCTCAGTGTATATATATACTTACTAACTTCCCATTAGAGCATCCATGGCCATTGGAAAGCTCTCCAAAATCACAAATCTCTCATAAGAGCACTCAAATTATTTCACCAGGGCAAAACAATTTCTCTGGTAAGAGACTTTTCCATCACTATACTGATTTATTACTCAAGAAAATGGAAAAGTATAGTCATTCAGGCCTAGTTGAAGTGGACAAGTCTCTTTAGAATTCCAGCTCTATATAACTACTGATATTTAGTTTTAAGAAGTAAGCATACTGGCCTGACTCAACAAGACTGCTAACATTCTGAACTGAACCTTTTCAGTAATTTAGAAATTGCTGGTACACAATTCTATTGCCAATCATGCCAAACACTTTCATCTGATACAACTTCATGTTCTGGTTATTTCAAAATACAATTTATAAATGTAAATATAAAATAAATATCAAAGGAGCCTGGGTGGCTCAGTCAGTTAATCATCCAACTTCAGCTCAGGTCATGATCTCTCTGTTTGTGAGTTTGAGTTCCACATTGGGCTTCCCACTGTCAGCATAAAGTCTGCTTCAGATCCTCTGTCCCCCTTTCCTTCTGCCCTTCCCTTGCTCTCTCTCTCTCAAATAAATAAACATTAAATAAAATAAAATACACATCACAAGTAAACAAAGTGGCTTCATGTCCTACCTTTTTAACTATTGAGATTGTATGTTTTTAGCGGAAATTGGTAAGTTGTAAGAATCTCAAAGTTTGGCTTAGATTCCTTCTTCTTCTTGTTCTTTTTTTTTTTTTTTTTTTTTATTTTTATTTTGAGAGAGGGACCGCACACAAAACGGGGAGAGGGGCGGGTCGGGGGGTGGGGGTGGGGAGAGAGAATGAATATCACGATCCTGGGATCCTGGGATCATGACCTGAGCCTAAAACAAGAGTCGGATGCTCAACTGATTGAGCCACCAAGGCGCCCCTTAAATTACTTCTCTGACAAAAATATATATCTCAAGACACTTTTTTTTGAGACACTTTTAATTAATATTGTCACCTTAGGGATAAATACCTTGGAAACTGTCCCTTCCTCCCTTCTCCTAGACTACATGTCTCTTGGAATATTCTCGTTTTCTATAACTCAGAAGAAAATCTCCCAATGGTTTCTTTCTTTTTCATGTTGAGGCACTTCTGAGTTAGTCTTGGGTGTGCTCTAGCCAACCTGGTAAATTTCATTGAGCTGCTTGTGCCCCTTTGTGGCCGGTGCTTACAATTACAGCTCAGTTTTGTTTGCCTTTGCGAAGCCTCTGAACTGTTGCTTCAGATGCATGAATAGTTGCCTCTGAAAGCTGGAAAGAACCACAGGAAAATGGGAAGAAAGCCAGCTAGAAGGTAGGGGCATATGGGCTGCACAAGAGGAGAGGATACCTGAGCAAGGACCAGATTCTGACTGAAAGCAGAAGGAGGTATGGATGCCAGGTTGGCATCAAACATGGCCACTACACATTACTGTAACTGTGTTGCCTCCCACACTAAAATACGATCAAGCCCCATGAAGGCAGAGACATCTTGCATGACACTCTGCAAAGATTGTTGAATGAGCAAATGGAGGAACAAATGGGTTTAGTCTATAGCAAGTTCACCGGAGAGAACAATTTTTCTTTCTATTGTCCTTTTGTTTTTTAAGTTTTATTTATTTAAGTAATCTCTATACCCAACATGGGGCTTGAACTCATGACCCTGAGGTCAAGAGTTCCATGCTCTTCCAACTGAGCCCGCCAGGTGCCCCTCATTCTATTGTTAATTACTAGTACTAGATGCTTAAAAGGGAAAATGTTTTGACAATTCTGTTTAACAAAGCCCCATATGTCCAAGAGCATTTCTCAAACCTAGTATTTTATAGGCTTAGATTTATGTGTTCACTTGTTGTAATTAATAAATGTTATTTATTACATTCCAAGGGCACTTGGGCACTACATTCCAAGATCTGAAGATTTAAAAAATGTGAAAGACACAGTTCTAGCCCCCAGAAGAGAGCACATCAGATTATAGTGTTATCCTTTCCAATCCATTTTTCAAATTATAGGCAGAGTGATTTTTTTTTTAATTAAATCTGATTATGTCAGCCCCTTGATTAAAATCCTTCATTGCTGAAAGGTTCTTTCAGTATTGGCCCCTGGCTTCCTTACAGGTCTCATCTGGAGCTCTTTTCCTCTCTGCATTCTTACCACATTTTCAGTTGCTGAACTTTAGATGCTCCTTCCTACGTCAACGCTGTTGGACATACTGTTCTCTCTACTTACAAAGCTATCCTCCCTTCTGGCCTAGATTACTCCTAACCAAATGCATGCATTACTCTAGAATGCAAAATGGGTTGAGTCCTGATATACCTTTGCAGGATACTCTGAACTGCTTTATCAAGATGAAAGCATTCATTATGTAATTGACTGTTTTTGTCTTCTGCTAAAATGTAAGCTTTAAAAAAAAAAAAAAAAAAAGATTTTCTTTTTAAGCAATCTCTACACCCAACTTGGGGCTTGAACCCAGAATCCTGAGATCAAGAGATGAATTCTCAACAGACTGAGCCAGCCAGGCACCCCTAAAATGTAAGCTCCTGATGCTAGAGATGTTGTATCATGTTCAGTACAGTGCCTGGCACGTGGTAGGCACCTTCAAATATTTGTTGAATGAATGGACTATCAGGCTTGAAGTGGAAAAGGAGTCTAATGAATAAGAATATGTTTTCTTGAGTGACACTAGATTTCTAGTTGCCACATTTCAGAACACCTGTGTGGTTTCTTAGAAGAGTGTGTTTCATAAAAGAGGAGGGAGGCAGATCAGGAAAGATAAGCAATCATCCAAAAAGTCAGTTCTCTCCAGGTGGAATCAATATGGAATGTCAGAAGCTTCATGGGAGACAGAAAAACTGGGGCGGCAAGACATACTGGCTTAAGATGTATCATTCATTCATTCCCAAGTATTTCTAGAATTCCTATTATGTGCTTGGAACAGGAGTTAGAAATTCAAAGGTGGGCCAGTCTTACACAGTTCTTGCCCTTAACAAATCTACAGCCTACTGAGAGACAAATACTCAGCGAAGTAATTTCCGTGAAGTGTTGCTAAAGAAGGTATGTACACCGGTGTCATGAAATACCTAATTAGGGGTGGGGGCCGGGGGAGAAGGAGAGGGATGGACAAAGGGACAAGGATGGGCGGTGAGGCGAGCCTTTTCGGTTTAAACTGAGACCTGAAAAATGAGGAGCCCTGAGGGTCTGCGGAACTGAAAGAAGTTCAACAGCTATGATTTGGAATCCCACCAAGAGTGTCAAGAGATCGAAGGGCACCTTGGTAGATTTGGCTTACAGCGACCCCGGTGTGAGGGGTCATCAGCCTGGTGAACATTCCCTGGGCACGAACGATAACGTTCTGCCTTTCCACATTCCAGCAGAGCTGGGCTTCCTTCAAATCATCCCTTAATCCCGCAGACTTCCACCAACTGCGGAGTGCTGGTGACCCGCAGACAACCTAACTCAACCGGAGACTGCGCGGAGGAGCTCCAGTCACAGCCAATTCCACCCCGGGAAGAGGCTCCAGAAACCCCACCCACGTCCAGGCACGTTTTCCTGGGCCGAGTCCCAGGGGCCGCCCGCGGCCGCCACGGTCACGTGACCCGAAGTGTGACGTAGGAGGAAGGAGACGCCATTAGAGGGAGGCGGAGAGGGAGTGCTCTTCGCCTTTCCTCGGGTGCCTGACGTGGTGGCTGGGGGGCCCTTCATTCTCGGACTTCCCTCGGCCCTTCCAGGCTTCGCCCGGAGGCGAGAGTGGAGACGGCGCCCCGGGTTGACGGGTCGGTGCGGAGGGGCCTGCGCCGGCCGCGGCTGTGAAGGCGCTGCGGCGGCTGTGGGGAGCTCGGCGCAGCTCTAGGGCTCGGGCGGCGGGGAAACGGGATGGCTGCGGCCGGCAGCGGAGGGGCGGCGGCGGGCAGAGCCTATTCATTCAAGGTGGTGCTGCTGGGGGAAGGCTGCGTGGGGAAGACGTCGCTGGTGCTGCGCTACTGCGAGAACAAGTTCAACGACAAGCACATCACCACTCTGCAGGTGCGGGCCCCTGGGAGCGGAAGGTGGAGCCTTGGGGCCCTTACCCCTCCGGGGCTGTGAGGACTTTGCTGCCATGGTCCCCTGGATCTGGGCTTACAGATCTCAGGCCTGTCACCGTCGTCTTCGTTTCGGAATGCTTTTCTGAATGCGTCCTAGGGACACGCGGGGTCGGGGCATCCTGTAGACGTAAGGACAGGCTGTTGGGAAGGGAGTGGAAGGGCCCTGAAAAGTCCCCCGTGTGGCTGCGCATATTGTGGAGTCCCCATCGCTTGGCTAGTTTTCCCCTTTGATTCACTTCCGCTTGTGCCCTAGGTGCCTTCACCCTACAGTCACTGACTGCCCTTTTTCTTTCTTTCGGAATTAGGAACTTAGCTGCGGATTTTATTTTGCGAACCTAGGTGCTTTGTAACTTCAGCGCTTACTGATGACTAAGTGTTTACGCAAGTTCCATTTTGTCCTGGCTTCGAGTAACCTGCTGATTGGCGAAAGAGTCATCTTTGGAGGGTTTTTGAAATGACCGCTTGCGGGCGTGGGTTACGCAGTTTCCTTGCTGCCTGCATGGGTCTGACTTAAGGGGCAGTCATACTGTGAGGTCGGTCGACCCACATGCACTGGGAAATGTCATGTGAATACTAGCCAACAGTTGGTCCCCAAACTAACAGCTTCGTTGCTGCTGCTACTTACTTTCTTTGCTTGTAGCATAGGGCCGGCTTTCTTCTGCAGTTACCTTAAGGTTGGTAGGAAAAGTGTTAAAATGTAATCATAGATTGGGAGTGAAGCCAGCCCTTTGAGGCAGTTGTAGCCTCCTCCCTCTTCCAAAGAAATCAGTTTGCACGTGTTAGAAAAAAAATATCCAACTGATCTAACTTTCTCAATTTAGTTACAGGTAGTAAAATCGAGTGTACTTTTTTTTCCCTTATGTTTATTTATTTTTGAAAGAAAGAGACAGAGTGTGAGGGGGAAGAGAGAGGGAAACACAGAATCGCAAACAAGTTCCAGGCTCTGAGCTGTCCGCACAGAGCCTGACGCGGGGCTGGAACTCACAAGCGGTGAGTTCCTGCCTGAGCTGAAGTCAGATGCTTAACTGACTGAGCCACCCAGGCGCCCCATAAATCGAGCGTACTTTTGAGCCTGATTGTCCAGGTTCATATTCCACCTCCATCTATTTATCTGTGATCTCTTATCTATTTAGTATGTTCTTGGGCATGTTAATTAACCTGTTTGAGCCTAAGTTTCTTCGTCTGTTAAAATGGCCATAATAATAATACCTAGCTCATAAGGTTGTCAAGACAAGTATACGTAAAATCACTTAGGACTTGGTCTGTTGTAAGCTCTCCATCTTTATTACTGGCCCAAATTGCACAATAGACTTTCATTAGTGATTGTGTAGTGTGTAAGAACATTGACACTATTTAATAGAACACACAATCTCCTAATTGTTGTGACATTTGATATTTGATGCTATTATTAAACTACTGAGTCTAGAATTCACAAAGATGCCCTGATGATTCCATGTTCTATTTTTACTCCTGTTTTTACTCCTCTTACGTAAAGCACAATATCTGAAAAAGTGAATGTCAGGAAACTCCTTTTTTTTTTCTTTGCATCCTTGTACAAGGGCACTTACACAATTTTAATAGTTGTTATTGTTGAGTGTTGCTAATGAAATCAAGGGAATTTGTAGGATAAATACCTATGATTATTTGGAACTTAGGAATTCATTTAGGTAAAGTAATAACAATAGTTAACATTCAGTGAATTCTTACTGTACCAAGTACTGTACTTTTCTTCTGTCATTTAATTCTTATTATAGCCTTTGAGGTGGTAGATAGTTTTATTAGCCCCATTTTGCAGGCAAAGAAACAGGCTTGGTTAAGTTGAATAATTTGCTGGCAGTCATTTTGCCATAAGTCATGCACGGTACCCAAGCTGAAATTTGAACCCAGGTCTGACTTCGGATTTTGAGCAAGTAAGTCACACTGCCTCTGGATATTGGTAAATCACCCCTTTAGTGGTTATCTTTGTGCTACAAATCTTACATAAAAGAGGAAATCATTATAATTGAGCCTCCCCCTTTAAGATAATTTAGTCCTTCAAACCAAAAATCGCACCTTCATTATGCATTTCAAAAACATCCTTGAAGCTAAAAGCAGCCTAGAGGTTTTTAAATATTAGAGACCACTTCAACTATACTGGAGAGGATGAAGTTTATGGTAGATTTTCAGTATCAAAAACATAACAGTCCTGATTTTAGTATTTATATAACTCTTATCATAAACAGTGTCTGGATTATATTGTAGAATTGAGGATTTTGTTGCATACCAATGTGTGGATGCAGTATTTAATCTCTTTCTCTTACATATCAGTTCCTCTCATTTTAATTTTTTTAGAGAATTGTGATCTATTAAATAACAACCATGTATAATTTTAATTTCTAAATGGAGAGGAGATCATGCATCAGAACATCAGAAGACAACAGAAGAAGAGTCCCTCTTTTTTTCTCAACAGAACTACCTACCACCTATCTTTTGACATACTTTGTGTTTTGCAAGGTACACTATCTTCCAATCATGTTCAAACAGTTATGTGACCAAGGAAACCTAAGGTAGTTTATGGTTCACTGTTTCAGTCTTTTGTTTAATATTTCAGTCAAGTGATTGTTCACTCTTGTCTGAACATCTTGGAGGTGAGGTGAACTGGTACAGAAAGTGGGAAACTTACTATGTCCTAAGATGGCCCATTTCATTTTTGGACAGTTTTAATTTTCAATAAATTTTTCTGTGTATAAAGCCAAAATCGGGGCGCCTGGGTGGCGCAGTCGGTTAAGCGTCCGACTTCAGCCAGGTCACGATCTCGCGGTCCGTGAGTTCGAGCCCCGCGTCAGGCTCTGGGCTGATGGCTCAGAGCCTGGAGCCTGTTTCCGATTCTGTGTCTCCCTCTCTCTCTGCCCCTCCCCCGTTCATGCTCTGTCTCTCTCTGTCCCAAAAATAAATAAACGTTGAAAAAAAAAAATTAAAAAAAAAAAAAAAGCCAAAATCTGTTTTCCTTGTAGTTTCCAGTTCTGTCCTCTGAATCTTGATCACATAAGATATCCCTTCTGATAGTTGAGGACAGCTGTCATATCCCTTGGTCTTATCTTTTGGGTAAACAGTTCTGGTTCCTTTAAAGGAATCTCTTATGACATCTTTCTAAACCATTTCACTATTTAATCATTGTCCTCTTTCCTTAAAATGTGATTCTTTGAGCTGTAGAAATGATTCCAAGTGTGCTTTGAATTTAGTAAAGTACAGGCTATCACCTTCCCTATTGAGAATCCTTTTCCAACACTGAAATAGAAAAGATTCTATGTGCTTGTGGACAGCTGCTACATTTATTAATATTGGGCTTGCTGTCTTAATCTTAATCCCCCTGCCCAAAAAGGCATTACATCCCTCAAAATCTTTTTTCTTTTATAGCTTTTTTTTTTTTTTTTTTTTTTTTTTTTTTTTTTTTTGGTCCCTAAGGTATTTGAACCATTAAAATAGGCTTTGATAAATTTACTCCAGTGGTCAAAGGCTGTTAATGTCCTTCTAAAGTTTGATTTTAAGTTCAAGAAACGTTGAGCTCCTGTGGGTCAGATACTTGGTTGGGTTCTGGGCATGCAAAGAAAAAGAAGGTTATGTTCCCTACTGTCTGGGTTAACTACTCATTTTAGCTTTGTCACCTGAAGATTTGCTAAGAATGTCTTCATTGTTTTCATCAGGTCATTAATAAAGACTTTGAAAAGTGGAGACAGAGGGAACGAGAGACAAAGCTCTGCGGCAGGTCTCATTATAGTCCAGTGATGTGTGACCAGAGATGTATTTTTCTTTAGTTGTGCAGTCTTAGGGTGGGGCTTTTTCAGACTATGCTTGAGCCATAGTCTTTCTCTTTGAGTGAGAAACAGTTACTGGTGGAGTGTTGTACATATTAATGATAATGGAAACAGAAAACAGCCTGAGATTTACTGTTATGGGCTATTAACTAGTGGGTACAAAGCCTTTAATGAAAATGTTCTTCCAGCATTATAAATCTAGCTTTTTGCCCTAGCTACATCAGTCTTGCCCACAGGGGATATCATGAGATGCTTTGTCAAATGCTTGCAGAAGACAAGATACACTGTGTTTCTGCATTAGGAAGCCATATGATGTGGTAAAAAGGGACAGGATTTTGAAGTTAGACTTGGTTTCATATTTTGGCTCCTACTTCATAAGCCTTTATGATCTTGGCAGGTTATTCTAACGTTTGTAAGCTGGCTCTTGATCTATAATATGGGAGAATCTTACTTAAAGGGTTTTTTTTTTTTTAGTTTAGTTTTTTTTTTTTTTAAGATTTTATTTTTAGGTAATCACTACACCCACTATGGGGTTTGAACTTACAGTCCCGACATCAAGAGTCAGTGCTTACTGAACAAGCCAGCCAGGTGCCCCTTTACTTATAGGATTTTTATGTCAGCCATCATAGGTAAACCTCTATCACAGTGCCTGGCACATGTTTGTTTTATAAATGTTTGCTATTGAATGAATAGATGGTGCTTAATTTGTGTTGGTTTCTTTCGTGGTAAATCAGTGAAAGGTAATGGAATTAGTTTGGCATGAATTATTTTGAGAACCCATGCTGTCTCTGAAAGATCACTACATTGTCTTTTAAAATTGTTTATAATTTTATACTTAATATAATCATATATATGTACACATATATATGTTATGCTTTATATACATTTATTATTACTATACATATATATTTGCTTATTCATTCTAGAGTTTTGGCTGGGATTGGCTTTTCTGGAAATTAACTTCTTTCTACAAAATTGTGACATTGGCCATGCTTTAATGTTTTAGCACTGCTCCCTCTTTGGCAGGGCTCCTCCTAGGTTACTAATAATTAAGACATAGTCTTGTAGGTGAGCTCTCTAAGAACTCAAAATCTTTTACCTAGCTCAGGAAACTTGATCTTATATAGAGTCCCCAAGCTCTCTTACA